GAGCAGACCACCCAGATACTCTAATGAGTTTCAGCGGTCTGGCTGCGGTGTTGCAAGACCAAGGACAGTACAATGAATCCGAGACGATGCATCGACACACACTGGAGCGGCGGGAGAAGATTCTTGGAGCAGACCACCCAGATACTCTGACGAGTGTCGGCGGTCTGGCTGCGGTGCTGCAAGACCAAGGAAAGTACAATGAGTCCGAGAATATGCATCGACGTGTACTGGAGGGGCGCGAGCGGATTCTTGGACCCGACCATCCAATAACCCGATTAAGTGCTAACAACCTGGCTACGCTGCTGCGATCACAAAGTGAGTGTGACAATTTATAGCTGATGAGGCGGTGTAAGCGGTATACACTGCGAGGAACCTCAGAGGATGCTCGGTCACGATTTGCTCGCCGTGTTGTCCGGAATTTGCGCAGGTGAGAAGTCTACAGCAAGAGCAATTGACGGGCAAAGCAGTTAATCGTATTGCAGGTAGTTTAGCTAGACGAAAGGCGATAGGTGAGAGCCACTGGTTCTCTACCCGGATGGGGGAGCGTAGGGGTCTACACGGGGTCGATTGCGGACCGGGCGAAACTACCAAGATTGACAAACTAGGGGTTCGGTGGTCATCTGTTGAAGTGTAGGGTGGAGGAAGTGTTGGGCATTTTCATTCTACTTCTGAATTTTGACTCCTACTGTTTATTTTCTCCTTTTTTAATGGTTCAGCGGTATGCTTTTTACTCTTTAACCTTCAATGGTGTGCCGTTCCATCCGATAAGCTCCTTGTATTCACTCGTTTACCATTCCTAGTCACACGAAGTCACACCTTTGCTATTCTTCAACTAGTTGCCACTAACACCCATACGCAATGCTGGTACGAGTTTCACACTAGCCTCCCATGCCATACCTATTAGCAGCTTTCCTGGCAGTTTCCCTCCTGGGCATTGTGCGGCCGTGCACTCTAAGAGGCTAAAAGAACTTGTAGTACACCTGCCCTCCCGGCCCTTCAGCCAAAGACCTATTGCCATACACCCCCCAGGACCAAACGGACCATGAATTGTACCCTGTCCACTTCACCCCCACGGGCCTGACTGACCGCGGCCACACCCTAAAAGGTTTCAGCAAGCCGCCCATGCTGCTGCGATACCACCGGTAGCAAAATGGGTTAGGGCCGATGAGCCGCCATCCGGTGTATTGCGAAAGATTGGCTCTCACTAGTCCGTTATTGTTACATATATTGAATTCATCTTTCAGGAAGGCATCAGTTAATTTTATTCCTCTTCTTTACAAAATAAAAGGCCCAGGATCTGCTTGCTGGTTAATATGTGGCAGCACATTATCTTACTGAAAAAAGATCCGGAAGAGACGTCGTATGACCGGAGGTGTAGAGCAGTTTGGGAAGAAAGGGGTTTGGGGAAGACACGGGAAGTAGGGGGACAGCAGAAGAGGGAATCAAAGGGAAAAGATGTTAGAAATCGCGAGGTGCTGCGCTCCATGCTCTCACGATAAGTTGTTTGTTCGCATAGTCTCTGGAAGCGCGTTTTGGCTTCGGGCCGGAGTGTGGCTTCCGCGCAGTTTGGCTTTTTCGGGAAAGCACATTGGCCGCGGTAATGTACGGGAGTCTTCAAGTTGAGAAATGCATCCGCCGGAAGGAAGGCGGGAAGGCTGGAAGGAAAGTAGAAAGCCCATAAGGAGGGCCGGAGGCTGGGTAGCCGGAGTTTGTCATTTCCTTTGTTAGCTTTTGTTTGCCTGTGAGCGGGAGATGTACCTGTAAAGATAGGACTCAGTTTGTTCTTTTTTTCACTAATATATACTCCTGTCTTTACAGTTAGTTAGTTGAGTGCGATAGTGAGAGGTAGATGAAGTGAAACGGAGACAATATGGAGACGAGGGTGAGAGGGAAGATCAGAAAGGGGGAAATATTGGAGCAGTGTTTGCAAGTGACAAGGCCGGCCCATGGATAGCTTTTAGAAAGCTTATAAATATACAGCCCTGACAGGCAAGGCCAAAGCGATACTGACCTGGGCCTCGCAAGGCGAACTTTCGGCTCGTGGCGATTACCCAGCAAATATTCTTCCAAGAAGCGTGGGAAACCTGAGCATGTCTACAAATATCCAGGATTACCTCCAGATATCTGTGAACACTTTGTGGTTTTTGCAAATATCTTCAAATACCTACGGCTACCCCCAGATATAATCCTTGTGAATACCTGCCCTCATAATGAAATATCTGAAGCTATCTTCAGCTGTCGCAGGCCAGAAACACACAAAGAAAAAAAAGCATTACAAGTTCCTAGCATTTAAGGTATTGCCTAGGCTGGGCAAGTTCATGTCACTCGATATATTCTTGTCGGTGGACAAAATTAACCGCGGATCAACCATCGATGGCAACGCACCCCTCCACATCACCCCGCACTTTCTACACTACCTAAAAAACTTCCTCTACATCAACCAAAACTGAACCATCCTATCCAATTATTATTTTCAATAAACAATGCCTCCTATTCTTCGCAGTCATGCTAAAAAA